TATAGCCAAGTAAACCGAAGCAAAGCAGACCGATCCGAACCGAGGCAAACAAACAAACATCAGATGGTTGGATAAAAAGAGCCATCGACGTCAGCAAGTCACAAGTAGTCTCAGGCGATTGGATGAATAAATCTGCCAGTATAAATAAATCCGCTTTTGGCAGGAGACCGCGGATCAGATAGGAAAATCAAATGCCAACCAGCCAATTCATTAGGACCGACAGAAATTATGGAAAATGCCGCCCACTTTTGTCGAAATTTATAATAAATACCGGGGAATACAACGTGCAGCAGCCTACGTTGAACAATAAAAATTTAACATTATTAAATAACTAAATCTATAGCACAAAAACAAGTCATGGAAATGAAAACAGACGCCCACAGTCCACAGGCCTCTAAACTCAACAACGATCAGAGGAAAACGTGCAGAAAAGCACAAATGCCACAAGTGGAAAATGGCATTCAAGAGGTGACTAGGAAATGCCCTTTTAAATGGGATTTGGTCTAAGAAAATTGCAGTAAAACCTTTTGTTTTTAACACCACCATCCTTACTTACTTGCTTTAAAAATATTTTCTATTTTTTTTATCCATAATATGTAAAACATATTAACTTTTCTTAGAAAGAGTATTTAGTTTTTTTTGATCCTCCAAATGCGGTTCGTGTCCTGACTAAGTATCTCTTCAGACGTCACACATATTTGTGGTTGTTGCTATTGCAGCTACTGCTGCTTTTGTTTAGATTGGAATTAGGGAGCTGATGATGCATGAGCCATTCCATTGATGAGCTCACTCCAGCACCGCCATCAGGTGTGTGTTTTGCACTGTGAGTACTACTAGTAGTATATGGATTTGTGTATCTTTCCCCGATCACATGACTGCGTGAAGAAGCGTAAGCACTATCTTTTTTCCTCGCACAGTCGAACATTTTTAGCCTAAACTCAATGAAAAATTCAGCAACAAAACCTGTATTTTTTAATTGCTTAGTAAGGTACTACTTTTATTTGCTTTTGGATTTATTAGATTTTTTTCAGATATTACAATAACGTCATAGAAGAATAGATAGAATTTATTTATTTATTGTCTGTACTAAAGATCTGTAAACTGATTCCATAAATAATACAGTTTTTTAATACAAAATTCAGTATATTTATCTCGCTAATTGAGACAAGTAAAAAACTGGCCCAGCTATAACAGAACGTGTTCTATCACTAATTGAATGCGATTACCTGATTAGCTTTATCTACAACTAACCCAATTCGATAACAGACTTAGTTTACTTACTTACTGACCTGCTTTGATAAATAAGCTCTTTTAAGATCAAAAAGTCAAACTGGTTAAAAGTATAATCAAACTTCATCACATTTAAGAGTAATTGCATTCGATTGTAACTCCTTTTCTGGCCAAAATGCCCAATTTGGAAAGCGAATCCCCAAAGAGATTAACATTGACCCGTAATTACTTTATTTGGATTGAAATTTTAATTAGACTCTCGACTTTGAACAGCTGCTTCAGAGCCATAAACAGTGGGCAGCAAAAGTAATCGCACGCCAAAGAGAACAATCTTTAGTATGGCTGTTGTTCAAAGGTCTGCCGATGGCTTTATAGTTTTGCAACGCACTGTCGGCCGCATGTGGGGAATATTTTATGGCATGATTCAGCTAACGATTTCCGCTGCCAACGCTCTCTCACATGGGTGCAGTTTTCCCACCACCCATGCGTCTATCATCATCATAGCCCCATAGCCCCATAGTCCCATAGTCACCATGATGATCCGATCTCCGAGAGCCGTGAGCTGTGGGCTGTGGGCGTGGGCCGCCTGCCGCCTCCTTGTCGAGATCGTGCCGCAAACATCGCATCAACTGGCTGGTCGGGCTAAAAATATATATATCTGCGCTGCATATTCGATGGGTTTGCTCCCACAAGGCTGGGCGGAAAAGCTTGAGCTGCCATCCCTTCCTCATTGGTTTAGCATTTTATTCGTGTCAAAAAACAAAAACTACTTAAAAGCGAAGCCCTCTTAAAATAAGATAACTATGGAATTCAACTTATACAAATATTAAAAGGTTTATCTTATAGACCATTCTTGAAACGCCTTTATATTTATATTCCCAAATAGTTGAGTTTAGCAGTTCATAATTAAAAGACTTTATATAATATATAGACCATTATTGATGATTGTTTTATTTTAAATTCTTACTCAAAATAGCTTATCTTATAAAGTAAAACAAAAAACATCTGCAATGGCATGTTTGGAATAATGTCAATTATGATTGGAATCAGTTTTTTTTTCTGCCGATCGTTTATGATTGGAAATATTATTTTACGATGCTGCATCTTTGTGCGTTCGAATGGCCGGCCTTATAGAGCCTGTTCCTGTGACTTCCCTTTCGTGTTTGAAGAGTTTCACATAAAAATGGTTGTTTATTGCAACCAGCTAACAAACACACACAAACAGAGAAGGGGCCAACCTAAAGATTGCTTTGTTCTGGGCCTGCCAGCCAGATTCAGTTTAGTTGCCTTCTTTTTTTCACTTTTCGGGTTTTGCTGAGTGGCAAGCGCGTGCACTTGGCGCCAACTTGGAGCCGCCACATTGCCTTGCCCCTCGAGCGGCAGAAACAGCTAACCGAAAGAGGCAACAATTTGATTTCGAAGCGCGACGTCTTCCTCCTACGGTCCCCTTTCCCCTTCCCCCTTTCCTCTTCCCCGGCGGATGCCACTTGGTTGTCCGCGGTTCGTTTCATAATTTGGTTGCCTTTTTTTTCGGTCTGGTCTGGTAAGAAATTCATAATTTGTCTGCACCGCAACAGGCTACCGTGCTACGTGGTCTTCGTTCTCGTTTTCTCAGTGATTTTTCCGCAAGAGAAGCAACAGGTATTTGCGGATAAAACTTGGCAGCAGCGGACTGCCAAACGAAACATAGGTTTCATTGAAAAGCCGAACAATTGGGTATATAACTGCACGTTTTGCATGCCAAACGGACAACAGATACAATTGGCGCGATAAAAACCGCCAGGGAAACGCGTGGCGACAGCGGCAGCACAGCAGCTGTCGCTGGCTATTAAATTGTAATTAAATTATTATCTCGCCGCGGCAATGGGCGTGGCCAAATGCAGGCAGCATCCGCCAATTTGTGGGTTTGTTTTCGCTTGGCTTTGACTTTTTTCTAAAGTATACAGTATATATCGTATATACTTGTATCTGCAACTGCAACTGCTGTGAATGGCATGCAGTTTCTATTGGGCATGTGTCACTTGTTTTTATTTTTTCCGCAGCCTTGACAACACGCGACCTGTTCAGATAGTGCTACCCGAAAAATACGCTTGGAATTCGCATCGTTAATCAAGCGAATTGTATCTTTTAGAGCATTTTTAGGCATTACCATTAATAGCTCTTAACTGCGATCTCGTTTCGTGTGAATGTTGTGGCTTTGATGGATAGCCGGGGTCTTGTAACGAGCTCGTTTGAGCGTAAATAAGCGAATGGAATCCGAGAGTTTTGTTTTCTCAGAATTGCGAGCCAATAAACAATAATGAGAATCGGAAAACAATCGCACCAAAAGCTAGTCAGCAAATGCACGGATATGTTTGTGCTCCAGCCAGCTAAACAGATCCATGACACACATCCGTTGTGGCTTTACGACTTATAAATGGTCGATAAAAATGTCTAAAAATATGCTAAATACCTCGCACAATCCTCCTGGGGGTGAACCAATCACATTTTACCAGCCACGAACCATAAAAAATATAGCGCATTCGGTTTAAGCATTATGGCGTTTTTATGAATGAACTGCAAGCGGGTGAATGCAATTAAATGCGAAAAAGTATTGAGCAGGTCGGGGCACTCCAGCGATCCATGGGAAAGCCACCCACTCGACCGTAACTCATTCATCTAACAACTATGTGTGGAGACACACTCCGAAGGGGAAAAACGCACTTAATGCTTTTCCCGATGGCTGTCGCAGGCGGCCAACTGGCCGTAAAACTAGCGCCCAATGGTCCCAATGGCCCCAACGCCCACTCCATAACGGTCGAGCTGAGCTGCTCAAGCATGTGGTAGTTGTAGTTTGGTCAAGTGGCAGTGGAAAAGGCAGCCAGCTTGCAAGTAGCACATACAGCAGCCACTTGCAACGAGCTTGTAATTAGTTGCAGATTTGCCAGCGACCTGAATCAATTGCCCGAGTTACCGTTACTAGCTACTTGCTACTTGCTACTTGCTACTTCATGCTCAAACGCATTTTCATGCTACAGTGCCCGCCGCTTGCGGTTGGTTTATAATCGCAAAGTCAGGATAACATAATCGTGTGATTGATTTAGAGGAGTACCTACCATTAAAGTCGGAAAACTGTAGTAGAGGGTTTTATTGTAAAATAAATAAATTTTTAAGTTTAAATTTTCTTGCTATTAAAGTTAGACAGTGATTTTAAATTAAAATATATTAAAGATATAGACTGAGCAGCAGTTAATTGCAGTAATTAATTACTTTTGTTTATTGTTTTATTTTTTAGTTTAAAATTAGACTACTACATATATATATAAAAAAAAGATAAATCAAATGACAGTTCAAAACTTGTGTCATGATTCTTTTTTTTCTAAATACCAACCTTAAGATAGTTATGTTCGTCTGATCAGCTAGTAGACACTAGCATTCGTAATCCCCAAGATGAACGAACCGCTAAAGTTTGCCATTGATTGGTTTTATGGCAAGGATTAGGCCAGCCCACTCATCAATTTTAAGTGCATTTCATCCCATAGCTTTTGCAAGTTAGTAGTGGTTGTAATCGGATAGCATGGAAGTGGTTTTTAAGCATACTGTTGGGGTCTTAAATATAAACAATCTGTGAAGGCCATTTTTAGCAAGCCAAGATCCGATTAATTTTGACTCTTCGTGGCTAACCAAATTTTTCAGCAAGGAAATAAAAAAGCTGTAAACTAAAATCTGGAGATGATAATGTTAATCCATGGAAGATACTTATTAAAGCAATTATTTTTTTTTCATTGCAGCACGCTCCCTGACCTGTTACTGCGATGGCAGCTGTCCGGACAATGCGATCAATGGAACCTGCGAGACGAGACCCGGTGGCAGCTGCTTCAGCGCCGTGCAACAGCTCTACGATGAGTCGACTGGGATGTACGAGGAGGAGCGCACATACGGATGCATGCCACCGGAAGACAACGGTGGCTTCCTTATGGTGAGTTTTTTGCCAAGATCTAATATAGAACTCGCAACCAATGAAAATATCCTTGTGTTACAGTGCAAAGTGGCCGCTGTACCTCACCTGCATGGCAAGAACATCGTCTGCTGCGACAAAGAGGACTTCTGCAACCGCGACCTGCATCCCGTCTACACACCCAAGTTGACCACACCAGCACCGGATTTGCCCGTGAGCAGTGAATCCGTTCACACGCTGGCCCTCTTCGCCTCCATCATCGTCTGCCTGTCCGTGTTCATGCTGATCCTGGCCAGCCTGTGCCTCACCTACAAGCGACGCGAGAAGCTGCGCAAGCAACCACGTCTGATCACCTCCATGTGCAACTCGCAACTGTCGCCCCTGTCACAATTGGTGGAACAAAGTTCCGGCTCCGGATCGGGGCTGCCACTCCTGGTGCAGAGAACGATTGCCAAGCAGATTCAGATGGTGCGACTGGTGGGCAAGGGACGATATGGCGAGGTCTGGCTGGCCAAGTGGCGCGATGAGCGGGTGGCCGTCAAGACCTTCTTCACAACCGAAGAGGCTTCCTGGTTCCGCGAGACGGAGATCTATCAGACTGTGCTGATGCGCCACGACAACATCCTCGGATTCATTGCCGCCGACATTAAGGGTAATGGCAGCTGGACACAGATGCTACTTATAACGGACTACCACGAGATGGGCAGCCTGCACGATTACCTGTCCATGTCGGTCATCAATCCCCAGAAGCTGCAGCTGCTGGCTTACTCTCTGGCTTCCGGATTGGCGCACCTGCACGACGAGATCTTTGGAACCCCTGGCAAACCGGCTATTGCACATCGCGACATCAAGAGCAAGAACATACTGGTTAAGCGCAATGGACAGTGCGCAATTGCTGATTTCGGACTGGCGGTCAAATACAACTCGGAACTGGATGTCATCCACATTGCCCAGAATCCGCGTGTCGGAACGCGCCGCTACATGGCTCCGGAGGTGTTAAACCAGCAGCTGGATCCCAAGCAGTTCGAGGAGTTCAAGCGTGCGGACATGTACTCTGTGGGTCTGGTTCTGTGGGAGATGGCCCGTCGCTGCTACACACCCATTTCGGGAACCAAGACGACCACATGCGAGGATTACGCCCTGCCCTACCATGATGTGGTGCCCTCCGATCCCACGTTCGAGGACATGCACGCTGTGGTGTGCGTGAAGGGCTTTAGGCCGCCGATACCGTCGCGCTGGCAGGAGGATGATGTACTGGCCACCGTCTCCAAGATCATGCTGGAGTGCTGGCACCCGAATCCCACCGTCCGGTTGACCGCCCTGCGCGTGAAGAAGACGCTCGGACGTCTGGAAACGGACTGTCTGATCGATGTGCCCATGAAAATTGTCTAGGCAGTTGTTTAGGTCCTAGGTTTAACCTAAGTTGCATTTAGTTTTCTGTTTTTCTGTTTTCGTTCAACCTTTTGTTGAAGGCCTTGTTCCAGCATTATTGCATGGAACCTTATAGTTAAGCTGTAATCGTAAGTTGCCTGTACTTGAGCGGAGCAAAGCAGAGGATCCTTTAGAGGTGCCTATTTTACGATTACTCTAATCGCCGCACTGATTGTAAGCTAGAGGTTAGGGTTAGCGCTACCACATAAGTTGACAGGAGCTAGTTGCTAAGGTCCCTTGCAAAATCTTTGGTTAGAAAAATGCTTTAACTATTTGAGAAATATAGGGAGTATGTATTTTGGATGAGACATATTCATGTTGATGTATGTACATAAGTATGAAAACAAATATCGAGCAGAATCGAAATTTAAATGTAACATACTTTAATTTTTGTGCCACCTTTTCTATGCTTTAACGTTACAAATTAAGTCCCCTATTTTGCAGACACCCGAGGCTTTAGCCTCAGCATACAACATATGTCTATGTGTTATGTTTGTATTTAGTGTTTAAGTAAAAACTTTGCAGACTTCGTGCAAGTAAATGCTGCCTTTTGTAAAATCCACGGAATTAGTTGCCTTAAGACAGAGTGTAAAGACAGGAGCCAACAGACAGAAGCCTGACTCCCCTCCTCCCCTTTAAGTAGCACATTTATTTATATGTATCCAGAGATATATAGGACTTGCAGTTGCGTATCTCGAGAAGTGCACTTGTGTCGGCTCTTTTGTTTTGTGTAAATAGCAAAGATGTTTATAGGCCGCTAACCATACAGATATATAGTATATATATTATATATTGTCGTTATAAGCGATTCTGTAAATACTATATATGTATCTTTATCTGTAACCATTTAACTTATCTCTTATCGTTCTTATCAAGTAACCTGGTTTAAGCTAGAGTTAGACAGACTAGCCAGTAAGAGCAGCAAGTAAACTATATAAACTAGATGGATATGTATCTTTCAGTTTTTTTTTCTGTTTCATTATTACTGCGCGCAGACCACAAGAACTAAAGTTTGTATTAAAGCGTTTAGTTAATTTATTTAAAAATAATAAAAAATTATTATAAACCCAAAAGCTTCTTTTTCTGTTGGTTTTGTCAGCACACACGATTCCCGCTACTCGCCCGCCATCATCTCCATGAATTCTGTGGTTGGGAATTTCGATTAGTCAACACAATTTTGTTTTGAAAATAACTGGGGTAACTAACCGTCAAAGTCCACGGTGCCGGAGCCATCGGTATCGATCTCAGCAATAATTCCGTCGAGATCGCTGGAGGAGAGCTTGTCGTCGAGGGCGGCGAGAATTTCCTTGAGCGTTGAGGTGGTGATGTAACCATTGCCCTCGCGATCGTACAGACGGAAGGCCTCCTTCAGCTCCTTCTGGATGGCCTCGGCATCCTCCTCCTCCAGGAAATGGGCGGCGATGTTGCAGAAGCCGTCGAAGTTCACCTTGCCGGTGTCCTCCGGATCGTTGTCGTCGATCAGAGCCTGCAGCTCGCTCTCCTCGAACATCTGACCCATGCTGTTCAGGATCGTCTTCAGACGCAGCGTCTCAATGAAGCCCGTCTTTTGTGTGTCGAACATTTGGAATGCCTTGCGCATGATGTCCATTTTCTCGTCGTCCTCCTGCGGTTAACCAAAAATTAGCTCCATCTCACATCATTAACGATTGCACAATCCCCCAAAAGCAAAAATAAGGCACCCGATAGATACCATTTTGTATCTGTTGGCCAAGCGACAATTTGCGGGCGAGCGAGTATTCCAATCTCCAATGCGTTCCAACTGCGTTGGCCTGCGGGCGCGCACTAAACCGATCGCCTGGCCAAGATCATTATTTATAAACAACAAATTTCGCTTAGTGGAAGCGTCACTCATACGCAGCGTTGTACACCACGTCGGCAGAGGCACAGCAGCAGCAGCAGCAGCATCGCATCCATGGGTTATTGTTGGTTTGGCTTTCGGCGAAGCACTTTATTAACAGCCATTGGAATGCGAACTGGCGGAGGTGGTGGTGGAGGTGGGGTGGAGCAGGAGGTGGCAGTGGAGGCGGATGCGGAGACTGATTCTGGCCAGACGCTGATCTAAATCAGATCAAAGTGTTACAGGTGCACTGCCTGTTGGATGGGTTATTGGCTGGGAATGGGGAGCGGTGCGGTGCGGTGTGATGTTGTGGCCGATGCCTTAAGGTCGGCGGCAAAACCAAGACGTCATCTCCATCATCTTTGGCATCGCTGGCAGCCTATAGCCGGAAAAACGAGCGCACTGCGCACGCTACAATTATGCAAAGAGCAGCAGAGATATAGGTACACCACATACAGATATAGGTACACCCTCGCATCATCCATATTTGTATCTGTTAATGTATCTGTGGCCTGGTCCGTCGGTCATTCAGTCAGTCACTAAAAATCGACTATAAACGTCTTCACAATCAGTCACAAAATCAGCGCGATTTTCTCACGGTAATTGTATTTTTAGTACTTTATAGCAATTTTTGTCCATATGATCATGAGTAGTGGGCCATATGCCTGCCTGCCGATGGCTGCTGGTCCACAGCCGATTCCACAGGCTCTTCGCGGCTACTGCTGGCTGCTGGCTACCCCATCATAGCCACTATTGCTGCGGTTAACCCCACTCCCATCCGATCCTCCCCCGTTCTCCTGTCCACTTGCCGCACAAAATGTTGATTTGGTTTTATATTTTTGCTTTAAAACAAACAAACAGGCATTCAGGCTGGCAAATGGACATCAAGCAAGATGGACAGGTCAGTGTGAGGGGGGATGGTCTCCTCTGGGTTCTGCTTGTTCTGTATGGGTGAGGTAACCTTCCGACGGCGGTATTTTTTGGCAAACGCAGCCAGGCAGTAGTGGCTTTGATGGTCATTTGAGTTTTATTATTTATGACAAAGCGTGAAACACTTTTGGAATGTCCCCGGGAGGTGGGAATGGGTTGGGTTGCTCGGGCAACTAGAGTACCCTCACACTCACACAACGACAGTTTGATTGTTTTTGCATAATTCTCATTAACCAAAATATGTGCGCTCCCTTGTATAAATAGCCAAAGTGTTGGCCACAGGCGTGGCATAAGTTCTAATTCTGATGCTGACAGTTTGGTGGCATGAAATTTAAGGCTAGATTTACGACGTAATTACCACTGCAAATTGTACCGACCAGGAGCGAAGTCAAAAATTCATTTTAAGTTTTGTTTATTTCAGAATTTCGGATTCACGCAGGGCTTTTTTTTCTTCTACAAAATATAACTAAAATATATTGCAGCTTTTATTTTTAAACAGCAGTTTAAAGTTGGAACGAACTTCGAGCTCGTATTTTTATTGAATTGCGAAACGAAAAGCGTTCTTTACACGGCTGAATGAAACGAAATTAATTAAAATAGTTCATGCCACCTAGAGAATTTAAAGCCAAATTGAAAGCCGGCAAAGGCTGAAGAAGATAGAAAAACGATGTATCGTTTGTGGTCTCTGCTGTTTTTAATAGTTTTATCAGTCTTTTCGAGTCAGGAACTCGGCAATGATCCTAGCATTTTAGCTAGTTTTGAAGATGATGACTCCATAAAGAGCTGCTTGGTTCTGCATGACGAAAATTGTCCCAATCCCAATATTAACTTTTGGCTTTTTACGTAAGATGATTGCCGGAGTGGTTTTCATTAGCCCAGCAATGAAAACATTCTCCGAACTTTTCAGCAAAGCAAATCCGAATGGAATGGAGCTCTCAGAGGATAATCTTTCCGAAGATCAATTTGTGTCCCTAAAACCGCTTAAAGTGCTCATCCATGGATTCGATGGGCACCGATATTATACTCCCAACAACCAGCTACGCCCTCAGCTTATTGAGCTAGACATCAATGTGATCTCCGTGGACTTTCCACGACTGGTCAGTGCACCCTGCTACTCAGAGGCGGTACATAATGGCAAATATGTGGGTCGTTGTACAGCCCAGTTTCTAAACAAACTCCTGGAAAAGAAATTGGTTGAGATTAAGGATCTGCATTTAATTGGCTTCGGCTTGGGGGCACATGTGGCAGGGTTCGTTGGCAACTTTATGCCCAATTACAAGCTGGAGCACATTACGGCTCTCGATCCGGCCAAAGCATATTACCTGGACAACGATACGGCTGAAAAACTGGATCCCAGTGATGCCAAATTCGTGGACGTCTTGCATACTGACGTAATGATGTTGGGCTTATTGGAACCATTGGGTCACGTGGACTTTTATTTAAACATGGGCGTATCGCAGCCCAATTGTGGACCTATTAACAAGAGTAAGTCGTCCCCAAATTTTATATTTCGTAATTATTTAGCATTTTGCCCTTTTTAGTGGAGACCCATTTCTGCTACCACAACCGATCGGCGGAGTACTACGCGGAGTCTATTACGACACCTTTAGGATTCGTTGGTTTCTACTGTCCCAGCTTTAAAAGCTACGTGACGGGGGTGTGTGTACCCAAGAACGATACAGAGTTGATGGGCTTCTATGCCCGACCGAAGTGAGTACACTAATTGATTTTCACAACAGTTTTTATTAGGTTCTATTCGATTCGAGGGCCAGGGGCAGGTACTTTTTGGACACAAATATGGTGCCGCCCTAAGCAAAGGGTAAAAACTTCAAGGATCTCAACCGTCAACTAAAAGGACGCTCATTTCTGAACGATGATATCTTAGAAAGGCTCTTTGACGCCAGGACGGAAATGTAAGGCACTCCGCCTTAGGTATTTTGTGAAGATTACTTCATAATTTATGCATAGGTATATGTTAAAAAAAAAAAAAATAATTACTAAGCATTTTAAACTGCTCTTAATTTTTTTTGTGAAATAAGTATAATGAAAAATTATTTAGTTTGTATATTTTTTAAATAATCTTTTAACTTTTGTTAAGTTTGACAACTTATTTAAAATATTTATTAATAAAGCGAAAATAAGGACTGATTTCCCAGGTAGAACGCAATCGCTTCTCTATTTCGCTGGATTTTGATGTGGAGCATTTCAAAAACTTATTTTAGGGCCTAATCTCATTTTCAGCTGAAATAATTTCGACATATAGCCGTGTGCAGGTGAGTTTGGCCCACCTTTGCAATCAACAGGAGGAGCACCACCGACATTCATGTCAACAACTCGTTGGGCCAGATGACAGATGCCAAGAAAAAGTTGCCGCCACTCACTATATACACTCAGAGTATATGGAAAGCAATTTCACGCGCCTTTGCCTTTGCCTTTTCATTTGAAACGAAACATAATGGAATTTTTTCGGTTGCGAGGGGCGGTGAATGTTTCGTTTGAAACTAACGCGAAACTTGCAGCCAAACAAGTGTTTGCATTCCGTCGCCAAGAAGCGACGACAGCCGAGGATGCGACTAGAATCGACTCCAAATCAAAGCAGGCGACGGAGTTTGATCGATAAAAGTCAAACGATTGTGTGGAGCGCCCAACTTGGGGCTAATCAGAACGGTGTAAATAGTAAGTTGGTAGTTAGTCGCGGAGTGCAACACAGAACGGTCGAAAAAGGATCGAGATGGAGGAGCTGCAGGATGCCAGCATCCATCACATGACCGCGAAGGTCATCGCGGCCATTAAGAACACAAAGAGCTACGAGCCCATTTACAAGGAGCTGCAGAAACTGGTCTGCAATCCCAGCGTGGACACCCACGATATGCGCAACACCCTCGAGGACGCCATCAAGAGTGCCGGCCTGGAAACGGAGATCAGGAACATAGTATACAACCTGGTGCGGAGTCGATTGGCCAGACCCGATGACAAGTCCCTCGCCAGCAAACAATCAGCGGTGGGTACAACTATTTAGCTAAAGGTTAGAAATGGGATTTTAAAAGTGATATCAAATTCCTTAGCTATTCCTAGCTATTTCTATCATTTCCATCTTTCTATCTTTTGTAAAATTTAGTTTGTCAATGGTTTTCGTTTATAGACCTTAATACTTAAAAAAATAAAATAATAAAAATGTTGCCGCAACCCGATGAATCCCGGAGTGGCACATATATAGAGCTTTCAGCGAGCTCATCTTTATTGACTTTAGTAGGTGGTCCTTGGGCGACGGAATTAATTCTCTTCTTTCGGTTATAAATATTTTCCATAGAAACCCACCGTTAGCGATCCACTTGGCTATCTGAAAAGGGCCGGGGTTCTTTGGGATCGAAGGGTTAGAAAGAGTTTGAATGCCATGTGCACAGAGCTGAAGGTTCCACTTCATGGACAACCGAGGATCAGTGCCGATCGCGAGGACTTCATGGCCAAGTGGAACGAACTGAGCAACTACAATATGGGTGGGTACTTCGTGGATTTTAATCTGACAATTTACCGACTTGCTTGCTCTAGATCTGGCCAACTATAGGCCAGTATACGCACCGAAGGATCTACTGGAGGTACTTCTCTCGCTGAAAGGACCCGCCAAAACCACCGAAAATACAGAGTAAGCAATAAACCCTATGCCATTAACAATTTAATATTAAATTTAAATATTTTCTTTGCCAGCCAAATCCCTCAGTGGGAGTTCTCCCACATTGCCCTGCCGGTGAAGAATTTGTTTGAGTTGCGCGCCCATTATGCAGATCTGCTGCGAAGTGATGGCTATCTGGGAGTGCCCGATCTCACGGTGCAATGCCAGAGGATTCTGGAGGGCAGGCATGCGCCCATGTGCCAGCAGTTCCTGAAGAAGGGCTGCACCCCGGCACCATACAGAGGAGCACTCTGGGCCTCCGTACTGGACAGCAAGCTGCATGACTATGTAATGAAACAATCCCTAATCAGGATAATCAATAACCCAAAGATACATCCACCCACAGGACATTGACTACTGGCAGAAGCTGCGCAATGCCGTGTGGACCACAGACCACATCGTGGACAAGCTGGTCTTCAAGGACATCCAGCTGACGGCCTCCAACGATGACCAGTACTTTGTGTTCGAGGACGTGCTCTACCAGGTGCTGCTCTGCTTCTCCCGGGACACGGACATCGGTGGCTGTGTGGAGTACGAGGCTTTTCCGGTGAAGGGCAAGACGTACGAGGGTCCGCCTTCGGGCGTGGTTCCCTTCCACGGCATCTGCATGTTCGCCGCTCCCTTCTGCTATCTGTACGACTCGCCGGTGAATCTGTACTACACGTTCCGAGCCTTCTACATCCGGTACTGCCATCGCCTGACCACGATCAATACGCATCCGCAGGGGATTGTCAGCCTGTGCCTGCTCTTCGAGAAGCTGCTCCAAACGTACGAGCCGCAGTTGTGGTCCCACTTCCGAGAGCTGCAGATCCAGCCGTAAGTAGGGATCGGAGGATCCACTGGACAGCTATTTACTAAATTTATCCCTACAGACTGAGGGTCGTCTTCAAATGGCTGATGCGCGCGTTTTCCGGTCATTTGCCTCCCGATCAACTACTGGTCCTCTGGGATTTGGTAAGTAAACAGATTGGAGAGGGGAAATCAGTTACCCTTCAACTTATTAAACATCCCCTACTTCTCCTCCCCAGATCCTTGGCTTCGACAGCTTGGAGATCCTGCCGCTGTTCGCCATCATCATCTTGAGCTTCAGAAAGGAGAGCATCATGCAGGTGGCCTCGCTGGACAGCATCGAAGCCATCCTGGCGGATCTGTCCTCCATTAAAGTGCTGCCCCTGGTGCAACTGGCACTTAGTCGGGACTGAATGTGTGCTTTTTACCTAGTTACAAAATTAAAGTATTAAGTGTTCGGAAAAATAAAATTGTCAATGCAGTATAATTTAATTAATTTATTATAAGAGCAAAATGGAAGGAAGTGGCCATAGTAACACTAAAGTAACACTTCATAATCATTTAAATGTTTTAGAATTAATTTAAAATTAATTATAATAGAAAACTATCCCGTTACGATTGGCCGTAATTCCAGGGGTAAACTTAGCTCTTTACTTTCACGACTAACCTGTCAATGTGAACGGATTTTGGTGGTCTATAAGGGCAATTAAGGAATTTAATGTTATTTTTACTGGTTCCTGTTCATGACTTACTTTTCGATTAGCCCTTTAATTTTCACACCTGAAAACCCTGTTGTACAACCCCAATAAAAACCAAATTTTATTATGAAATAAGTTTATTTTTATTTTAAAATATGTTTAAAGGGGATAAAGTATGTAATGTAACTAAGTCTAGCTTATTTGTAGTGTTGGAGGTATGTATTAACTTAAGTTCTAAGGTGATCTTATACAATTTACTTATGAATAAGATAAAAATAAAACTCTTCGTTGATGAGATGAAATGTAGAGCAGGACGACAGCTGAATCCTGGAGAACCTTGAGAGCGACGCTAAAATACGGCAGAATTATCCACGGAAACTTTATTGACAATGGTAACGCTGATATCCCATCCGCACTCCTGTATTAGTTTAATTTAAACCTATCTGTTCTTAAACAAATAATGTGAATAAAAGTTTTTTTTACATAAATATGCACAACTTTTACTGATAGAGGGGGAATAATTTATTGGAAACACGATTATCTTTTGCTTATGAAATCCTAGTGAACTTACAGTCCACATTCGAGCCACATACAGTCCACATACGATCCACACACATTTGTTGATTTATATTTTGTGGATCGTATGTGGATCTAATGTGGATTGTATACGAGATTTTGTAAACGCGATCCACAAAATCTCAGCAGTTCCTCTTACGGCAACAAGTCCTTTATCTGCAAGAAAAAAACGAAAAAAAAATAAGAAACTTACATCAATAAATTATTACTTTCCAAGTTTGTGAATGCCAATCGATTGGAAATTTTTTTAACGAATTTAACGAAAATTTGATGAAAAAAACCGATTATTGGAGCTGATTTTTTCGAATTTTTTGCCCATAAAAAATAAGTTTTTAAACGTTTTTTGATGCAAAACAAAACGCTCAACCAAATGAATGATTTTTTTGTGCAGATGATGACCTTAACTATCGAATCCAGGTGAATTTGAAAAAATTTATTTTCTGACCAATTTTTGCATTTTTTATAAGGGGTTACATCATTCATATTTGCCAAAAATCGACGGAATTGAAATTTTTTAGCTGTGAATGCCATTCGATTGGAAATTTTATAACGAATTCAACGAGGTATGGCATTCCACCGTGCGAACATTATTTCCCTTGGTTTTGATCAAAAAACCGAAATAAAAGTCGCTTTTTCCAGATCTCCGGATTTTGGCATTTTTTATAAGGGGTTACATCATTCATATTTGCCAAAAATCGACGGATTGGAAATTTTTTAGCTGTGAATGCCATTCGATTGGAAATTTTATAACGAATTCAACGAGGTATGGCATTCCACCGTGCGAACATTATTTCCCTTGGTTTTGATCAAAAAACCGAAATAAAAGTCGCTTCTTCCAGATCTCCGGATTTTGGCATTTTTTATAAGGGGTTACATCATTCATATTTGCCAAAAATCGACGGATTGGAAATTTTTTAGCTGTGAATGCCATTCGATTGGAAATTTTATAACGAATTCATCGAGGTATGGCATTCCACCGTGCGAACATTATTTCCCTTGGTTTTGATCAAAAAACCGAAATAAAAGTCGCTTTTTCCAGATCTCCGGATTTTGTCATTTTTTATAAGGGGTTACATCATTCATATTTGCCAAAAATCGACGGATTTGAAATTTTTTAGCTGTGAATGCCATTCGATAGGAAATTTTATAACGAATTCAACGAGGCATGGCACTCCACCGTGCGAACATTATTTCCCTTTGTTTTGATCAAAAAACCGAAATAAAAGTCGCTTTTTCGAGATCTCCGGATTTTGGCATTTTTTATAAGGGGTTACATCATTCATATTTGCCAAAAATCGACGGATTTGAAATTTTTTAGCTGTGAATGCCATTCGATTGGAAATTTTATAACGAATTCAACGAGGTATGGCATTCCACCGTGCGAACATTATTTCCCTTGGTTTTGATCAAAAAACCGAAACAAAAGTTGATTTTTCCGGATCTCCGGATTTTGGCATTTTTTATAAGGGGTTACATCATTCATATTTGCCAAAAATCGACGGATTGGAAATTTTTTAGCTGTGAATGCCATTCGATTGGAAATTTTATAACGAATTCAACGAGGTATGGCATTCCACCGTGCGAACATTATTTCCCTTGGTTTTGATCAAAAAACCGAAATAAAAGTCGCTTTTTCCAGATCTCCGGATTTTGGCATATTTTATAAGGGGTTACATCATTCATATTTGCCAAAAATCGACGGATTGGAAATTTTTTAGCTGTGAATGCCATTTGAATGGAAATTTTATAACGAATTCAACGAGGTATGGCATTCCACCGTGCGAACATTATTTCCCTTGGTTTTGATCAAAAAACCGAAATAAAAGTCGCTTCTTCCAGATCTCCGGATTTTGGCATTTTTTATAAGGGGTTACATCATTCATATTTGCCAAAAATCGACGGATTGGAAATTTTTTAGCTGTGAATGCCATTCGATTGGAAATTTTATAACGAATTCAACGAGGTATGGCATTCCACCGTGCGAACATTATTTCCCTTGGTTTTGATCAAAAAACCGAAATAAAAGTCGCTTCTTCCAGATCTCCGGATTTTGGCATTTTTTATAAGGGGTTACATCATTCATATTTGCCAAAAATCGACGGATTGGAAATTTTTTAGCTGTGAATGCCATTCGATTGGAAATTTTATAACGAATTCAACGAGGTATGGCATTCCACCGTGCGAACATTATTTCCCTTGGTTTTGATCAAAAAACCGAAATAAAAGTCGCTTCTTCCAGATCTCCGGATTTTGGCATTTTTTATAAGGGGTTACATCATTCATATTTGCCAAAAATCGACGGATTGGAAATTTTTTAGCTGTGAATGCCATTCGATTGGAAATTTTATAACGAATTCAACGAGGTATGGCATTCCACCGTGCGAACATTATTTCCCTTGGTTTTGATCAAAAAACCGAAATAAAAGTCGCTTTTTCCAGATCTCCGGATTTTGGCATTTTTTATAAGGGGTTACATCATTCATATTTGCCAAAAATCGACGGATTTGAAATTTTTAGCTGTGAATGCCATTCGATAGGAAATTTTATAACGAATTCAACGAGGCATGGCACTCCACCGTGCGAACATTATTTCCCTTTGTTTTGATCAAAAAACCGAAATAAAAGTCGCTTTTTATCGAGATCTCCGGATTTTGGCATTTTTTATAAGGGGTTACATCATTCATATTTGCCAAAAATCGACGGATTTGAAATTTTTTAGCTGTGAATGCCATTCGATTGGAAATTTTATAACGAATTCAACGAGGTATGGCATTCCACCGTGCGAACATTATTTCCCTTGGTTTTGATCAAAAAACCGAAACAAAAGTTGATTTTTCCGGATCTCCGGATTTTGGCATTTTTTATAAGGGGTTACATCATTCATATTTGCCAAAAATCGACGGATTTGAAATTTTTAGCTGTGAATGCCATTCGATTGGAAATTTTATAACGAATTCAACGAGGTATGGCATTCCACCGTGCGAACATTATTTCCCTTGGTTTTGATCAAAAAACCGATATAAAAGTCGCTTCTTCCAGATCTCCGGATTTTGGCATTTTTTATAAGGGGTTACATCATTCATATTTGCCAAAAATCGACGGATTGAAAATTTTTTAGCTGTGAATGACATTCGATTGGAAATTTTATAACGAATTCAACGAGGTATGGCATTCCACCGTGCGAACATTATTTCCCTTGGTTTTGATCAAAAAACCGAAATAAAAGTCGCTTCTTCCAGATCTCCGGATTTTGGCATTTTTTATAAGGGGTTACATCATTCATATTTGCCAAAAATCGACGGATTTGAAATTTTTAGCTGTGAATGCCATTCGATTGGAAATTTTATAACGAATTCATCGAGGTATGGCATTCCACCGTGCGAACATTATTTCCCTTGGTTTTGATCAAAAAACCGAAATAAAAGTCGCTTTTTCCAGATCTCCGGATTTTGGCATTTTTTATAAGGGGTTACATCATTCATATTTGCCAAAAATCGACGGATTTGAAATTTTTTAGCTGTGAATGCCATTCGATAGGAAATTTTATAACGAATTCAACGAGGCATGGCACTCCACCGTGCGAACATTATTTCCCTTTGTTTTGATCAAAAACCGAAATAAAAGTCGCTTTTTCGAGATCTCCGGATTTTGGCATTTTTTATAAGGGGTTACATCATTCATATTTGCCAAAAATCGACGGATTGGAAATTTTTAGCTGTGAATGCCATTCGATTGGAAATTTTATAACGAATTCAACGAGGTATGGCATTCCACCGTGCGAACATTATTTCCCTTGGTTTTGATCAAAAAACCGAAATAAAAGTCGCTTTTTCCAGATCTCCGGATTTTGGCATTTTTTATAAGGGGTTACATCATTCATATTTGCCAAAAATCGACGGATTGGAATTTTTTTAGCTGTGAATGCCATTCGATTGGAAATTTTATAACGAATTCATCGAGGTATGGCATTCCACCGTGCGAACATTATTTCCCTTGGTTTTGATCAAAAAACCGAAACAAAAGTTGATTTTTCCGGATCTCCGGATTTTGGCATTTTTTATAAGGGGTTACATCATTCATATTTGCCAAAAATCGACGGATTGGAAATTTTTAGCTGTGAATGCCATTCGATTGGAAATTTTATAACGAATTCAACGAGGTATGGCATTCCACCGTGCGAACATTATTTCCCTTGGTTTTGATCAAAAAACCG